CACACTGTTGGAGTTATGGTTTGGGATGCTATAGCTTATGGTTCCAGGTCACCTTTAATCTTCATCAGAGGTAACATGAACGCGCAGCGTTATATCCACGAAGTTCTAGAACCCCATCTTTTACCCTATCTTGACACCCTGGCAGATCCAACTTTCCAACAAGATAATGCCCGACCACATGTTGCAAGAGTCACAATAGACTTCTTTCAACATAATGATGTCACATTGTTACCATGGCCACCAAGATCTCCCGACTTATCCCCAATTGAGCACGTGTGGGATATGATGGGTAGGAGATTGCTCAATTTGCAACGTCCTCCTCAGACTCTAGAAGCACTTCGAGAGGAGTTGGTGGTTGCCTGGAATGAGATACCACAGGAGGACATTGACCACCTGATCAGAAGCATGCCTAGGCACGTTGGAGAATGCGTAAGATGTGACTTGTTTTTATCGTATCATGTCAGTACGCGATAACAAAAAAATTTCCGATCGATTTCCCTACTATCTTCTATTGATACACTGAAAAAAAAAATCAATCCAATTAAAATTTTAATTATCCCAATTAAAAAAAATAATTAACTATGTGGCAGCTAACAAGATTAATTAGTTTAATTGGTTTTTAAAACAGTTAACTTGAATCTATGAAATCAGTTTGATTAAACCAACACGCAATCGGTTAATTAAATATATTAAGCCGTTTACTTAGATTAAGTACACCAATTTATTTGAAATGAGTGAACTATTAAAATGAGTTTACCTGCTGCAAGGAAAACAATTTAATTATATTTATTAAAATTCTTAACTAGCTTAGGTAAAATTATTTATCTAGTTTTAATGAATTATTTTATTTAGATTTAAAAGTATATTTGGACAATATACTAAGTGACATATAAATCCGAACACCCAGTTTAAATGGTTTTATTTTAATAAAAGTTGGTGAATGTAGTTATCTTACTGTAAATAACAAGTGAAAAAATTTTCAGCCTTATCAGTTGGACATTCCGGTTTTTATACTGCTTTTTTTTAATTCACTAACGCTCTAAAAATGAATATTTCAGCCGCAGTAAAGAATCAACGTTGGCGGATTTTGGTTCTTGACATCCTTTACGATCGGTTACGATGCCTAGAGTACGGAGACCTGTACGATTTCGTCAACTTAGTGAGTTTGATAGGGGCTGTATAGTGGGACTTCGGGAAGCTGCACTTTCTTTTCGGGCAATTGCAGTTAGAGTGCAAAGAAGTGTAGACACTGTGGTTAGGGGTTGTCAGGCATGGCTTCGAGAAGGCCGTACGCAAAGAGCAAGGGGCACTGGATGCCGCCGTAGAAAAACAGACCGTGAAGATCGCCGCCTAAGATTATTGGCCTTAACGGACCGTTTCTCCACTACCAGGTCCATTGCAAATGAATGGTTTGCAGAACACGGAAGACCTATTGGCATGCGAAGTGTTTACCGACGAATGAGAAGTTTTGGCTTGTTTTCATACCGGCCACAATGGGTCCTCCCTTTAACTCGAGAACACCGACGTAATCGCCTTGAGTGGTGCAGACAACGGTCACTCTGGGAGTCTTTAGTGACGAGTCTCGTTTTTGTTTAGGCATGCACGATGGTCGTGCCAGGGTTAGAAGGCGACGTGGTGAAAGGAGGAATCCACAGTTTTTTGTTGAAAGACATGTTCATCACACTGTTGGAGTTATGGTTTGGGGTGCTATAGCTTATGGTTCCAGGTCACCTTTAATCTTCATCAGAGGTAACATGAACGCGCAGCGTTATATCCACGAAGTTCTAGAATCCCATCTTTTACCCTATCTTGACACCCTGCAGATCCAACTTTCCAACAAGATAATGCCCGACCACATGTTGCAAGAGTCACAATAGACTTCTTTCAACATAATGATGTCACATTGTTACCATGACCACCAAGATCTCCCGACTTATCCCCAATTGAGCACGTGTGGGATATGATGGGTAGGAGATTGCTCAATTTGCAACGTCCTCCTCAGACTTTAGAAGCACTTCGAGAGGAGTTGGTGGTTGCCTGGAATGAGATAGCACAGGAGGACATTGACCACCTGATCAGAAGCATGCCTAGGCGCGTTGGAGAATGCGTAGCACATCAGGCTGCATCCACACATTATTAAAGGTCAAAGGGCTTGAAAGCAGTGCAATCATTTTGAAATTTTTATCATTTATTTATTATGCTTGATTAAGTACTTATACAAAATTTTATTAAAATAAAACCATTTAAACTGGGTGTTCGGATTTATATGTCACTTAGTATACTTGAAATCTCAATAGACCAAATTGCATTTTACTGAATGACGTATATTAACTGTACTCTGACAAATCTGAGATACCAAAAAATTTGTAAATCTTGATATTGATAATTGATATGTTCGAATCAGAATAAAACTTCCGATTTTGTAATCCTAACAAAATTCGATATTTTTTATTTTCATGCTCATCTCACGCTTTTGCCATGAAGCATCTAGTTCCCGGAGTCGTGATCACGCTTTTCCACAGAATTTGTGACAATCGTGATTCCTGATTTAGAAATGACAGTTACTAAATTACAGCTCGTGAAATATGTGGTGAAAAACTGTTTCGCTCCTGGATTATATGCGTATCATGCCTAAATTGATATTTATCACAAGATAGTTAATCGATGAACCAGCCAAAATGAGTATTGATTTTCATTTTAGTCCAAAATCTATATGGGATTATAAAGGCATTCCACGAAGTCCCTTGATGCACTGAAACAATTTAGTCAATTCAATTAAAATTTTAATCATGCCAGTTAAAAAAATTAATTAGCTATGTGACAGCGAATAAGTTTAATTTATTTCTAAATCAGTTTACTTGTATTTATGAAATTAGTTTGGTTAAGCCAACACGCAGTAGGTTAATTAAATATATTAAGCCGTTTACTTAGATCAAGTACACCGATTTATTTGAAATGAGTGAACTATCAAAATGAGCTTACCTGGTCCAAGGGAAACAATTTAAGTATATTTATTAGGTGAAATCATTCATCTGGTTAAATGAATTATTTTGTTCAGATTGAAAAGTATATTTGGATAATACGTGAAATCTAAAAGAACAAATTGCATTTTACTGAATGATGTATATTAACTGTACTCTGACAAATCCAAGATATCAAAAAAAATTTAAAACCGGTTATTGATATTTTCGCATCAGAATAAAACTTTCGATTCCTAGCAAAATTCGATATTTTTTATTTCGCCTTTGCCATGAAGCATCTAGTTTCCGGAGTCGTGATCACGCTTTTTCACAGTATTTGTGACAATCGTGATTTAGAAATGTCAGTTAATAAATCGTTCGTGAAATATGTGGTGAAAAACTGTTTCGCTCCTGGATTATTTGCATGTCATGTTGCAGTTTGCATACAACCTGACACTCGCTGGCGCCCACAATCACATAAAATGACAATAATAGTAAATATATGATGCAGTTTGCGTTATGAGTAGACGCAGTGCTATGCCAAACAGCCTGGAAACGTACAAGTAGAATGCAAGGATTTTTTAATACGACATCACAACAAAACGTCATCACGTCCCGCCTTTTCTACCTGATGTTTGTATCAAAACTGTCAATCATTTTAGTCATTTACTAACATTGTATTCGCTGGGAGTTGATGCAAAGGTTAAAAAGTGATTTCAAATTTAACTTAACAAAAGTTTGTTTGTCCGGAGACGCAATTAGTGCATGAATAAGAATACTATGTTTTAGTATAAAGGTGGCTGTTGAAAATTTAAAAAAGATTTTAAAATAAGATTGTTTTTATTATGTAACTCATTTCCAACTGTTTAAAAAAAAATTATGAGTTGAGACAAAAACTTTCCATTATAAGCCGAAATACGTATTTTTTCACGAACTTTGAAACTTGATTGCACTTTGCACTTATAATATTCTCCGCTTTACAATTGAACATTCATCTTGCCAGTTATTCGGTATGAACATGTATAGGTGGATACGTTAATAAATTAAAATCAAACATTAATCTTGATTATAGCACCGGAACAGTTCGGAAATTTGGCCAAAATTTTTGTTAATTTTAGAATGCACATCAAAAGGCGCCATTCTTTCGTTGATTGCTTCTTAGATGCATCGCAGATTATTTCTGCCTACGAGCATTTATTACCATAACTGTGGTTGTTGCCAAAATTGATATTTATCGCAAGATAGTACTAGCCAAAATGAGTATTGATTTTTATTTTAATCTCAAATCTATATGCAATAGAATATTTTTTGTTGACATAAAAGAATCTGAAAATTGATACCCCGTAATATCTTGTATGTAAATTTTAGATAGTCCTAAAATACAAATTCCTAATCAGATTTAGTACTCAATATATTGCGAGTTATTTATATCTATAAACATGTACGTGTAATTTTAACACACTTGCGTTTTGAACTCGTTTAGATTGAACTTGTCACCACGCCTTCAGTGCGCTCTAAATTAAAAATATATGCATTACGAATTTACATAATGCCTACTATGTGTCCTCACTCCACACCTATTCAATATAATGAATTGATATGTAGGATGCCGCTTCCGTTATATTCAGCGACCTGAAACTTGAACCAATAATTTTCCACACGTTTTTATAAGGTGTATTGTCTATCTGTTCTGCATACATAAATAAGAGTATTGCAATTTTGTGGAGCGTTCATAATTTGAGAAAAAAAAAAATACAATTGTAGGCCTATTTTACATCTCACGCCCAATCGCGAAAAATTTCGAAAATGAGTGTTTTTGATGTTATATGATATGTACATCAAGAAAAACGATGTCATTATCTTCCGTTGGTCTGTCCGTCTGTGTGTCTGTTTGTCCGCTAAACTTTGTCCCGACTATAACATGTAGCGATCGGATTTTGAGAAATTTCCTCACAAGGTTATTCTTATCTTATTTTTATACACAACCTCAACCTAATCACAGTTATTGGCCTATAATTATTCTTAGCGTCTTTCTCTTACCTGATTTATAAAGTGGAGTAGGTAATTTTACTGATTTCAAGTTCATCTGGAAATTTTCCAGTTGTCCAGTGGCCGGGTGGTGAATTTCTTGTTCATCAGTGAGGTCTACCAAAACAGTGTTATGCATATAGACCTTTTTTCCAATATTCGCACCAGATGACCTAATTTTGTTGAGAGCTAAAAATGATGTGATGAAAACACCGTTCTTACTGACCAAAGTATAATTTATTACTTTAACTTTTCGTGTCGTTGACTGTCTCGACTGTGACAGACTGCTTCCGCCATCTGGTCGGATATTTATTCCCCTGTCGACCAGTCGAGAAACATTTCCAGCGTTTCCGCGAACTTCCTCGGAAGTGGTCTAGATGGCAGATTTATCTCCAGACTTGTCGAATATTCGCTAATGGCGTCACGAAAGGTCCAGAACGCGAGCATGCTCCATGCACGGCCGCGTAATTCTGGTTGCCTAAACGTCGATCTCACTTCTGGACACCTGTCGAATCTTTTAGTTGATGTACGGGGGTGTGTCTCGCTGGTTATACCAGGGCGTTACAATAAGATGAACATTAATTATGACAACACAATAAAAGGTTAGCACCAGTTACATATTTGAGTTCTGTCTACCAGAAGGTGTTTATCCTTTAATTCACCGGTTGAGCCATCCATGCAACCAATTAGCTAATTTTGCGTCCTATAATTGACGCTGGAGCGACTGGTTGTACCCCAAAATTATCTTATATTGGTGCTGGTATCCAAATAATCCCACCTGGGTTCCAGTCCCTCGATTTTGACACCTCAGATTCCAGATTACAAAAGAAAGGGGTTGGCTTGCTTGCCTAACGTCTTTGCGACCCCCATATACACTTTCTAAAGCACTGTGTCCAGCCTTGATCTTCCAAGGCTTGACATAGGGCCTTGCATGTAGCTTTCCATTATTTGTGGGTTTGTGGTTCCTACTATCTGAATCCGTACATTTGTCAGGCCTTCACAGTGACACAGGAGATGCTCTGTCAGGAGACCCACTATAGCCGTTACGGTCTTCCTGTTAAATCCGAGTACCTTCTCTGTAAATGCGGGCCTTCGTTTTTTGATTAACTCTTTTTGCCTACCTTTGCCATTATTGGATGTTCCATCATTCTAGGGACTTTTTATTGGTCCAATTTCCTATGGACTGTCTAGTGCGTGTACTCATCATGCCACAGAAAGGCTCTGGACCTATAAGGTGATTAGAGCTAGCTCGTCCATCATTTCCTTTGCAATATTACCTTGTTTCAGTTTCCCAGCTCTTTAAGAGTATTCAAGCTATCCCATACTAGTTTAGACGATTGCTGGGATGAACTTAATGGCATTATGACTGATTAGATGATTTGCAGTCTCATTCCTAATTAGCTCTTTTCCGCATACTTGTATGGCCGTTACTTCAGCCTGAAATATCGTTGCGATATTTACCTAGACTGATAGAGGTCTCAGTTTTTGGCTTTGCCCTATAAATCCCGGCTCTATTTCCGTCTTCAGTTTTCGTGCCGTCTGTGTACCAGTAGCTCTTGCCATGTAGAGGAGGTTCTTTCTCCCGCGCCTTCCTTTCTGGTACTATTGTTTTATGGTTTTATCGGTTTATGGGACAACTGTGTCTGTGAGCATTACTAATATATCTAGGAACTATTTTTCGTGCTGCCGAGTGATCGGTGATTGGCCTTGAGATTGTCTATGAGCCTCGGCAAGAACATTTTGACACCTCAGGGTAATAAGCATGTTCATAACCTTACAATCTTCTTGCCTTCGCCACATACTTGTATTTGTAAAGCGTTTTCGGGTGCAGATTTTGTCTCGCCGCATTGATATATCGACGCTGATGACGCGGGGCGACAAGCACCCATACACGTATCGCGATTCAAGAGCAGCATATTATCGGAAGCCTGCCTTTCAGCGATTCATTCATGCACCGGTCCACGAACAGTTAAACGGCGCGCATTTCGTGAAAGTGAACACGCAACGAGACGGGGCACGGATCTTTTCTTTTTTTACTTCGCGTTCTGTTGTGTTGTGTTCGCTTTGAAAACTGGCTGATGTGACAAGATGCGGAATCATCACAAGTGCTGTTTGACTACGTCATCAGCTGGGTGCCAGAATGGCTGTCAGGGGAGTTTTGCCGAGGCTAGGAATCAGGCGCCCAATGAGTGAGTCGAGTTCTCGTTCTAGAGTTCGCGTGTGGTTATGTTTTGACAGTTATTGTACACGTTTCCCACTTCCGACCTTCTTAGCGATTACGCTGTTGCCTAGGTCGCTAACTTTCAAGTAGATTTGGAGAAAGCTCACGCGAAAGCTTTTTTATTTGTAAAAAAAACTGGAATGGATGAAACCTTTAGGGCATTGTTAAAATCGTTTGAATTAGAATAACAAGGAAACAGAATTTTAATGTTTCTTAAAGAAAAAAGTTCGGACGAGTCGGGTTTTATCGAATTTTTATTACTAGGAGGAACATTTAAAAACCTGTTGAGACATACTTTGTGGGGTCTTAAGAAACGGTTGAGGTGCGGATGATCTCTAAATTTGCAGGGTTTCTAATTGTTTTGACTTAATAAATGATATTGTTTTGATTATAAAAGGCTACCACAAAACATCCAAAATATTATTTTAGTGCCATATTTGTTGTTGACATTTCTGTATGAAGTGTACAGAGATCCGACAAGAAGTGCATAGAGGTACATTTTAGCATTATAGTGTGGTAGGTTTAAATGTCCATAAAAATATTATGTAATTGTGCTTACATACAGGGTGTCCCAGAAGTCGACGTCAAGCCGAAACCGGGTGATAGGAAAAGTCATAACAGCTATCAGAAAAATATTTAAAAAAATTTTATGTATGGGTTTTGAAAATTATAGGCCTTTGAAGAAAATATAGAAATTTCACACCCTACGGCAGTCTGTCAACTCCTGTTACTACAAATATTAACTTTTTTTGGATTTTATTTTTACAATGTAATGATAAATAATGCATCTTCAAACTGGTGTCTCAACCTTACTGCCAACTTTTCTCGTTCAGGAAAAATTGACACTTATTTCCCAACCAAGTATTCCAAAGTAAAACTTTGCTCAACTTTAACTGGCTGTACTGGAAAAAAATGTACTACGAGAGTTTGGCAAGTAACCTTAAAAGTTGGCGCATTTAATAAGGATTCCAAAATGGTATAACACTTAGAAGATTACTCGTTAACTTATGCACAATTTTTATTTGAAGAAAAACTGATGAATATTTTTCAAAATTTCCTAATTAAACAGCGATTATGAAAACGCACAAGGACCCTTAAGGATAACTGTTTGCACAACAGTGGGCGTCAAAATGCTGCTGATGATGATTTACCTTTACAGCAAATGCTCAAACTGTTTTCCTTCAGCCGTAGTACACGCTCCACATCTTCTTAAAAAAGATCGGGTTATTACCAGACCGCCCTATCCATCTGCCTGGAAAGTTTTGATCGAGATACTCTCTCACTGAGAGTGCATAGTGCGCTGGGCAGCCATCATGCTGAAACCACATGTCCCTGTAAATACTCAGTGGCACGTCCTCCAATAAATTTTCTAAATGATTTTGCAAAAAACCTAAATAAACCTCAGCAGTCAAAGTCTCTGGGAACTCAAACGGACCGATTATTTTACCATTTAAAATTTCTGTCCAATGGTTTCTCTTGAAGCGATATTGAGATTTATCTTCTCTCATCAAATGTGGGTTTACTACGTGCCACTCGTGTAAGTTATGCAGGTTCATGTACCCATCTTTCTTAAATGTGGTCTCATCTGACCATAAAATTTTTTCAAAGAACCGTGGATCTTCCCTGTGTCTTTCTAACATTGCGCGACAAAAAGCAACTCGGGGCTCATAATCCCGGGGCAGAAGAGCTTGAACACGCTGTACGTGGTATGGATGGAGCACGTTTTTTTGCAAGATTCTATGGGCTGTACTTTTGGGCACACCTGTTTTTAGTTCTATTGCACGCACTGAAGTACTCGGGTCTTCTTCGACAGCTCCTAGCACCACGTCTTCGTAAGGAAGATAAGATCTTCCCTCACCGTGTGATTGGTTTGGTAGTTGGCCCTCTGAGAACAGTAAACGGTGCACATTTGTGAACACTCGACGATCTGGATGACGAGTTGCATTCGGGTACCTCTCACAGTAAAGTCTCGCTGCAGCACTAGCGTTGCATCTGCATTCCCCATAAATGAGGTGCATGTTAGCATATTCTTGTACGGTGTACACGGACATAGCGGCACTGCACAATCACACTATCAAAGATAGTCTAAGGAAAGCAAATGTTGTTTTGAAGAGCAATTAAACAGTCCAAATCCAAATCACAAGCGATCAGTCCAGTTCACGAATCCAAAATTAGTAACAGTACGAAATCAACAAGCACGAACATGTAAAGATGCGCAGTAAACGAAGGAGTACTGATCCGTATCAAAGTGTGCAATAGCAAGTAAGTGATGTGCTTCATCCATACCACATACAGCGTGTTCAACCTCTCCTGCCCCGGGATTATGAGCCCCGAGTTGCTTTTTGTCGCACAATGTTAGAAAGACACAGGAAAGATCCACAGTTCTTTGAAAAAAAATTATGGTCGGATGAGACCACATTTAAGAAAGATGGGTACATGAACCTGCATAACTTACACGAGTAGCAAACCCACATTTGATGAGAGAAGATAAATCTCAATATCGCTTCAAGATAAACCATTGGACAGGAATTTTAAATGGTAAAATAATCGGTCCGTTTGAGTTCCCAGAGACTTTGACTGCTGAAGTTTATTTGGATTTTTTGAAAAATCATGTACAAAATTTATTGGTGGACGTGCCACTGAGTATTTACAGGGACATGTGGTTTCAGCATGATGGCTGCCCAGCGCACTATGCACTCTCAGTGAGAGAGTATCTCGATCAAAATTTTCCAGGCAGATGGATAGGGCGGTCTGATACAGGCCGTGGCCAGCCCGATCACCTGATTTGAATCCTGTAGATTTTTTACTGGGGAACTGTAAAAGAAAAAGTGTATTTCAAGCCGATTCAAAATGTAGCTGAGCTACGGCAAAGACTATTGGAAGCAGCTGAGTTTGTTAACAACCGTGGATTCGCTCGTTTAATAACCCGATCTTTTTTAAGAAGATGTCGAGCGTGTATTGCGGCTGAAGGAAAACAGTTTGAGCATTTGCTGTAAAGGCAAATCATCATCAGCAGCATTTTGACGCCCACTGTTGTGCAAACAGTTATCCTTAAGGGTCCTTGTGCGTTTTCATAATCGCTGTTTAATTAGGAAATTCTTAAAAATTTTCATTAGTTTTTTTTTCAAATAAAAATTGTGCATATGTTAACGAGTAATCTTCTAAGTGTTATACCATTTTGGAATCGTTATTAAATGCGCCAACTTTTAAGGTTACTTGCCAAACTCTCTTAGTACATTTTTTTCCAGTACAGCCAGTTAAAGTTGAGCAAAGTTTTACTTTGGAATACTTGGTTGGGAAATAAGTGGCAATTTTTCCTGAACGAGAAAAGTTGGCAGTAAGGTTGAGACACCAGTTTGAAGATGCATTATTCATCATTACATTGTAAAAATAAAATCCAAAAAAAGTTAATATTTGTAGTAACAGGAGTTGACAGACTGCCGTAGGGTGTGAAATTTCTATATCTTTTTCAAAGACCCATAATTTTCAAAACACATACATAAAATTTTTTTAAATATTTTTCTGATAGCTGTTATGACTTTGCCTATCACCCGGTTTCGGCTTGACGTCGACTTCTGGGACACCCTGTATAAGCGTTTCAACGCCTAGCAGCTGCCTTTTTAACCTAGAATTTCCTCCTCTTAGTCGTGGATAGCGCGCCGCTAGTGCATTTGAGGTTATGTGAAGTCCGAAGTGTTAACTGATTTTCATTATATACACGAGTATCCATGACAGCTAATTATCTGGTAAAATTCCTCATATCGACACAGGACACATAATTTTGACGGATCCGTCAACGCCAGGTAGTCAGAGCCGTATTTTGTTTTTTGTACGCTACAGCTTTTTATTTAGAAAAGTTCATTTGCATTCAAAAAACAAAACGCCACAAACAAGTATTACTAGATTTATAGCCTATTCATTATTGCCAACGTTGCAGAGTAACACAAAAATTTCACTTGCTGATCAGGTGTTCACCTCAGTAGACGTCAAAGCGTAATGGTTACTCGTGAAATATGGTATTACATACGTCAGTAATATAAATTTATTTCATTGAAAACATTTTTATTTATCGCATAATAAGGCGATTAGCGTGTTTATTTTACATTTAATCTTTAAAATGATGGTAACTTGAAACTGACTGCTTTCATCAAAACACGAATATAACTATTAGAAAATCAAAATGTACGAATTTCGTAGTCATTCGTACCTAAATCGGTTTTCGTTCACCAAAAACTATGTTTCAATAACTTTTTAATTTTTCTCGCAGTAAAAAAAATCGATAAAACCCAACTCCTCCCAAGTGTCGGATTCTGTCGTAGATTTTAATAAGTGTCTTTTTTCGCATTGTCAACGTTTCATCAAAGTTTTAAAATCGTAAATGAAGAATTAAAATGAAAAAGTCCCATTACAAGGATTGACCAAGGAAATACAAAAATACTTAAAAACCACAGAACAAAACCAAAAACAGTGACAATAAACGTGTGTATATTTGAAAAATTATAGGATTTTAGAGATTTCAACAATTTCAAAAAATGTAACATTATAAATAATCACCTGAGTTTTAAAGGCAAATGTATGGCTAAGCATATCTATATGCGGCTGAAGTTCAGATCGATCCACGCTCTGATCGAAACGGTAAAAAGGCAGCAGTGATGAAAATTTGCCATTACCACTTCTACTGACGTAATTTGGGTCCAAGTAAACATAAATCGATGCGGTTTTCACGTAGTTCGATTGTACGTTATTACGGGCTTTCTATGTACTGTAAGAGTTTTATCTCCCTCCTCCAAAATCTTCCTCAAAGTGAGGAGAAACGCGAAAAAATTGATATTACATTAAAATAAACCTGGAGAAATGCGGTTTTCACGTCAATTGATTAGAAAAAGCATATTTTACTTACGCTAAGTTCAAATCCGTGCTATCTCGTTCACAGATACCGCAAATTGACCCCCCTTTAAAACCTAATAT